ATGCAGGGGCTGCAGCGGCTCCCCAGCAGTCCCTGGTGCGTGGGCGCTCACCCACAGGAGGCCTGTGAAGCTTACACCTAGTTTAGTGCTGGGGAAACTGAGGCAGGGGTGGCACACAAGGGGTGGATGCCAGGACTCCCTGCCCCTGCTAACATCAGAGTGGGGGAGTTGTCTCCTTTCTCTGCCAGGGGACACAGAGGGCTGCCACTTGGCTGCCACAGACCGCACAGGGACAGATCAGCGTCTTGCTAGCCCCCTTGAACTCCAGATTGCTCTGCCGCTGAGCTGGTGGCCAGGCTGCCCAGTGCAAGTCTCTGGGCTTGCAGCTCGTTCCTTAGTCACGCTGGCCCCCTTGGCCCCCTTTCTCCTGGAGCGGGAGCCTAACCGTGGCCTGGAGGAGCCGTGGCGCCCGCCTGGCCGTGTTGCGGCTGGGAGAGGAGGTTCCTGCCGCCTGAGTGTCAGGTGCTCAGCTCCTGGAGGAGCCCCCTTCTGGCTTTGCGCTCTGCCCCCTTGGCCACTTGCAGGGCAGAGGCCTGGAGCTGGAGTCGGAGGGGAAACAGCCCTGGGCTGTCCTGAGGCAGCGGCCTTGTGGGACTGTCCCATGTGCGTCGATGGCTGGAGGGCCCGGGGCTCTGCCGGGATCTCTGCCCAGCCTGCAGGGCTAGCAATCCCTCTTTAAAAGGGGAGTTTGGGGGGGCCTGTTTCAGCCTCCTGCCATGTTTGCTCCTTGTCTCCGTCCCCAGAGCTCCCTGGCGCTACCCAACGGGGAGCGGGTGCGAGCCATCTCCGAGTACCTGAGCAGCAGCAAGAAGAGGAAGGCCGAGGAGAAGGACTTTGTCACGGACTACGTGAGTGGTTCTTTGCAGGGAGGGTGGGGGTGCATTCCCGGGGCAGGGGAGGGCTCCCTGCTCCTAGCTCTGGGTTTGCGTCTGCCCAGCTGTGCCCTGACCTGCCGGGTGACGCGCCGAGGCTGGGCCCTGTGGGCGGGGCCACCCCAGCTGCTGCATGCGAACGCGCCTCTCTGCGTTTCAGGGCAGCGACGCTGACAAGAGCGAAGACAACCTGGTGGTGGACGAGGTCAGTGCTCGGGCGATTTGTGTGCAGCGGGGCTGAGGGTCAGTCTGGAGGGGTC